AATAATTTTTTCTATTATACTTGATATAATGTGTTGTCTTTTTTTTTTCATGCAGTAAATATGCGTCATTGAAATATTAAAGTAATCGATTCATGTTACGTTTCTTTCAACATATATTCTACCAAACTTTTAATGGATATATATACAGGTAGTCCAAAAAGTATTCGGACACCTATATATCTTGATTTTCGAAGTGGCAACAAGTGATATTATTTTTCTTTTTTCGTCAGTAGATAGTTCTCACTTCATACTAGATTCTCTATAAAAATAAACAATTGTGATTATTATCTCGAATTACGGGAACGTTTCTCATTGAAATGTCCGATTTTCCAATATGTTAGGTACTCACTTTTCGGACATCACAATTATATTATTTGCACACCGCTAGAACGAGCAAAGTGAGCTCTATTTGTTGGCATAATATTTCAATAAAGAAAGTTAATTTTCACAATATGAACTATTTCAAAAGAAATCAGATTCTTGAACATGCTTCATACGACAGTGCGAGGAAAAGATCACAATGAATTTTTTATTAAAATTAATTTCCAAATATACCGTTAGAAAGCCTGTCAAAAGCTGCACAAAACAAGGTCTATCTACTGGTGAAAAAAGAAAAAGTGTATTTCTTGTTTCTGATTCGCAAGCCAAGAAATACGAAAAAACATTGGGGGTGTCCGAATACTTTTTGGACTACCTGTATATATATATATATATGTTTGAAAAACAAAGTTTTATTTGAATAGACATTATATTAAATATATTATTTTTACTTAGGATTTATTTTGTTTTTCCAATATAACATCATCAGTTTTCCTAGAGTCAAAGAAAATCCTTTCTATCACCACTCTGAAAAGGCTAGGCAAAAAAAATTCGATCTATAGACTATTGTGTTTCTAATCAATTAACTATACAATTAGATCTTGAAAGGTTTTCAGTAAAGTATAGCACACAGACATTTATCATTTTATAGAATATGTTATTTGATGGCTCAGATATTTTACAACTATTATATTTTGTTTAATTCCATTATTTATCATCATTAAACAGTTTTTATGTTAAATTACAGATAAAAAGCAGCGAAACAGATTATTGTTTATTCTATAGCGTAGAATTAATATAAAGAAGAAAAAAAATAGATAAATATATGATATATATTCGAATGAAACATTTCAATAAATCTCATTGAAAAGAATTGGATTGGCGCGCATCTCAATCAGTAAAATAGAAAACTAAGACTTTTTGATAATCGATGAATATGATTCAATATCTATGCGTTATATTAATTAAGAAAAAGCAATTCTTATTCGAGAAACGATTAATCAATAAAGTTCCATCCAAGAACTAAAATTCATATATCATCGGTGTTCATGACAAATATATCAGTGAATTGCAACTTTTTGATACGATTGGTTGAGAAAACTGAAAGTAGATCTAAACAGTTTTTGACTAGCTCATTTTATTACACTCTATACTTACATTACGTAGCAGAAGTTTTCCAACACATTACCACATATTTGCTGAGATACGACTTACTTCAAGGTAAATATACCATAAAAAAACGTTATTTTCATGAAAAATATCATTTTAGAGCTCATCATGTAATGTAAATATCTTGAGAACGGCAAGAAATAGAAAGCTGAATATTTTACCGATTATATAAGTCTGAGAAATATATATACAGTAAAAATTTGAACGAACCGTTCACGAGTTATTAACATAATAAGTTTCAAAAAAGTCGTTCTACACTTTTTTTGAAAGAAGAAGTCCTTCTACATTTCTTCGTATAATGTAAATTTCTTGTGAGCGACAAGAGATAGACAGCTGAATTTTTTATCAATTATACAACTCTAAGAACTATAACTACGATAAAATTTGCAAAAAATCCTTCTACAAAGTGAGTAAAAGTTGAAATTTTGAAGAAAGATCGGTTTTTTTCAACGAAAAGAAAAGGTGTTCGGAGGAAGGTTTTTTATCAATTTGTTTTCCGCTCGATGTCCTTTCTTTTGAATATATTCCCATTCCTTCAAGTCACAGTCGCAGAGAGAAAATTAAAAACTGAGGTCCTTCTACAGAAAAATGACTAAGTGTCTGTAAATAAATATTTTGAGCGAAACGGTATGAAAAACGAGAGAAACATAAAAAAATTTAATTCGATAGAACGTTTCAAGCTGTATAAAATGGCCTATTGACTGTCTTTTATTTTATTTTCTTTGATAGTTAGAAAATTTTCTTTTCCTAGCACATCTATCTATAAAATCCTATTTTTTTCGCAGTGTAAGACTCATAAGTCTGCGCCAGTACAAGCTAAAGAGCTGAATTTTGTTGTGGCAGTGGGACAGTCAGAGACTAATAATACATAAAAAAATCGTCTAGATCGGTCAACGGAAAGGAGTTATTAAGAAAATACAGTGAAAATCTCAATCATACCAAAATATTTCAATTCACTCGTATATACAATGTAATTATAGTCTTGTGTCGACTAAAGTCATCCATGAAGGATTATTAAATACTCACAAAAATCGCTAAATGACATACACCAATCAGATTAATCACATCATACTGAACTGCTAACGGCATATATATATATAGATAAAGTTAAGGCAAATTTGTTGTCTTTGACTTACTATCTATGATAAGGTAGTTGAACGTCAATCAATTTCATAACTATTTCTCCAGGTAAGCACAAGCCTAAAATTTCTAATCAACAGATGTCCCATAAGACCATGTTCCACGGTTCCGAATCTCTTCCAATTGGTCGTCTTTTCTACTGAAGTGCCAGTCTATTTGATTAGTTTTACGTAGATGACATTATATTATCCAGGAGTTTTCTAAATGAATCGAAATCATAATAAAAAGAGAAGTTTTTAATGAAAATTTTTTAGATAATTATTAAATCGTGCAATATTTGTTAACAAGTTCGATGTTATTAATCGAATTGTACAGGGGGGTGCAAAAGTCACTTAACTCAAAAAAAAAGAATATCTCCTTTATAGCTCAAGCAAATGAGCTGATTTTTTTATCGATGATAGAGACATGTTCAAGCTTTATATTGATAAAGACATGCCCAGAGAAACTCTTTGTTAAGTATTACTAAGGACCTCATCAAAGAAAAATTTACTTTTTTTACAAATAAGAGAAAAATACCCTAGAGAAAGTACTGAGTTCAGGGTACCCATGTACTGAGAAAGCTCTAGCAGGGTACCCAATCTGGGTACTTTGACAATTCTCAGTAATTTTACTGATGTATGTACTGTTTGGGGTACCCGTAAAAGTATATTCACTGAATAAGTACCTGCATGGATACACAAGTCTGTAACTTTACTGAGGAAATCTCGACAGGGTATCCTACATTTTTCGCGTTTTGTGTGGCGACTATTCATTCACCGTTTTCTTTTTTACGAACGGCTCTATATAAACAACTCGATAAATCATAAGAAAATAATCAATTTTCATACTAGTTTTTTCTAAATTATTTCTTGACTATTTCTTAGTCGAGGAAATGCCGAGCTTGGTCGTAAATTAAGATCGGACTACCCTGAAGTGGTCTACGACCAACTCAAGTTGAGTCGGATCCCGATATTGTTCCTGCTAAGTTTTTGGAATTGAAAAAATTAAATTGAATAAAGTAAAAAAAAATCTAGTAAATTATCTCAAGAAAAACAAAAAAGAATTTTAAAAAGTCAAAGATCAGGTTCGATCCTGAACATACTGAAAATTTGGTAACAGGGTACTTAGAAATACTATACAATGGTACCCAATTCAGTAATTGATCAGTACCTTTAGGTACCCAATTACTGTGCATTTTCCAGCAGGGTACTTGCCAAAGTACCACTTAGGTACCTATAAGTACCTGCAAGTACTTTGGTACCCAAAAGTTCCTGTGACATACTGGTATCAGGGTACTTTTTTGGGTACCCTTAACTCAGTATATTCTCTAGGGTAGTGTATGATAAAGAAAAGTAGGCTAAAAAAGACACATTTACTCTTAGTCCTTCTCTATATTGAGAAATACATGTCATGGTTCTTTATTGAGATGAAAAGAGAAAGATATCGACATGCTACAATCAATACTTTGTTTATATTCTTTAAAAAATGAACAATGTTTTAGCGCAAATGTTCGAATTGTTTCCCTTCTGTATTAATACACATTTGACAACGATCAGCTACAGAACGACAAATTTTTTGACATAATTCGATATCATCATTGATTGATATAAATTCTTGTTCGATTAGTGACTTCAGACGATTAGTATTACAAGGATTTTGAGCATAGACACGGTCTTTTAAAATTCCCCATAGTGAAAAATCACATGGAGTTAAATCTGGAGATCGTGGTGGCCACTCAATAGTTCCTCGACGACCTATCCAATGTAAGAATGTATCATCTAAATAATCTCGCACAATTTGACCATAATGGGGCGGTGCACCGTCTTGCTGCCAGATCATTGTTTGAAAACTTGAATGTTCTTCAAGTTGTGGTATGATATTATCCTTCAACATCTGAAAATACTTTTGTGATGTAACATTACCTTCAAAAAAATATGGTCCAACGACGCCATTTGACCATATTCCTCCCCAAACAACCACCTGTGGTACATTGAGTTCTTGTTCAATAACGAGGTGTGGATTTGTATCACTCCAATAAACGCAATTGTGTATATTAACACTACCGTTTACTTTGAATATGGCCTCGTCCGTCCATAGAATTCGATCCAATAGAGTTGGATCTTCTTCAAATGAATCTAAAACCCATTCACAAAATTCTGTTCTTCGATCTGGATCATCTTCGTTTAAAGCTTGTAATAATCTTGGTTTATATAGTTTTAAATTTAGATCCTGCATAAGACGGCCTAAACTTCTACGGGAGATACCAAGATCAATTGATGCACGTTTTTTAGATGTTTGTGGATTCAGAAGAAAAGTTTCAGAAACACGTCCCATATTTTCTTCCGTTCTAACTGTTCTCGGTCTTCCACTTCGTGGTGCATCTTCAACAGAACCTGTTTCATCAAACTTTTTTGCTAGTTGGTGAATTGTTTGTCGTGTTGGAATTTTTGTATCGGGAAATTCAGCTTGAAAAGCTTCATTTACTACTCGTGTATTTCCTGATATCCACCATTGTTTCACGAGAAAAATTCTTTGTTCGTTTGTTAGAGATCTCGGCATCTGCAAAAATATGAGGGCGAAGTAACAGTTACATATCGAACAGACAAGCAGTCTTACTGAGAATACACAAAAACACGTAGACAGATACGGTAGATGAATATGACCAACAGTATAGAAGATAAAAGATTTATATGATATGAGATATGAACGTGGACTATAGTAAAGCAGGAGAAAAATAGGAAGAGAAAATATATATGAATATAAAGCACGTGTTTTACATAAGTTCAAATAATTTATTACATTTGTTCTTAATGAATTGTCTTTGCTTATGGAACATTATTTTTCTCTTATTTGTAAAAAAAGTAAATTTTTCTTTGATGAGGTCCTTAGTAATACTTAACAAAGAGTTTCTCTGGGCATGTCTTTATCAATATAAAGCTTGAACATGTCTCTATCATCGATAAAAAAATCAGCTCATTTGCTTGAGCTATAAAGGAGATATTCTTTTTTTTTTTGAGTTAAGTGACTTTTGCACCCCCCTGTATTTATTTAAATTCTTTTAAAGAACAATACAGAAAAATATTAATATAATAGTGAGAGATAATGTGTCTATCGATTCAATGTATTTCTAGCAGACATTTTATTTCGAACGCCAATAACAAAATATGTTAAAGAGTAATATTTGGAATCTATTGAGAAAAAAGTCAGATTGACTTTCGGCGTAACGCATCAAGACGAACAAAGGTACTTTGATGATGATCATGGATATGTAAGATATATGATATAGTTCGAAAAAGTCCATCATATATACACAACAATATTGAGAAACAGTAAAAATTAAGACTAATGGAATCAATGAAGCTTCAATTAACCAACGAAGAAAGTTCAGATATGTTAATGTACAATTGATATTCATCAATTCGAGCCGTGTGTAAAAGAAAGCGATACATACATAAACGAATATCAATTTCATTTCTTTCTTCAATACAATAATCAATAATGAATATCTGTTTAGGTGACATATGTACATCCAATTGCTGTCCATGAAATCACCTATACGTTCCGAATAACTATAGAAAAATAATTCTTCTATCATAAAAAACAGTAATAAACCATAGGTGACAAGGAAAACTTCAACCAAACGTGTAATGATGAAATGAATGATAAGCCAAATTTTCATATTAATAACACAGGACATTTGTTTATATTCTATTGAAAACGATTGATTTGGTAATAAAAGAAAGATTTCATTGATCGATAACATTCTACTCATAATAATAAAATAATTGTCATTACAGACAATTCTATTTATATAAAAAGTATATCATTTATTCAATTTCTCTTTATCATACTCGATATTGTTTATATAAGAGAAATAATCTCATATGAAAACATGTCCGTCGTCTATTTCACATATTCCGTATTGTCTTAGGGGTCAAACACACTAGAAAAAATGAATTAAGGAATATGATTGGTGTTGCTATATGGAAACACCAATCACATTCTTCAATTCAGCTCTATTTTCTCTAGTGTGTTTGATCCCTTATTGTCTTATTACTCTTTCCTCATCATTCAACAATGGACTGAAGATAGACAGAAAATCATTGATCGATGTGTTGCTTCAATCAAATTAAATGAATAAATAAAATAAAAAGTTACAGTTTTCTTTCCTTATACTGATTCATTTTTTTTGGTGTACTATCTTCCCAGAAAAAAAAAAGTCGTTTCGTTCGTCCTATCAATGATAGATGTACTTCTGACCATTGACATCTATAGGAAAAAATCGGACAATGGATAAATTAAAAGAATTCTAATTTATTCACTATTAGAAAACCCTAAAAAATAAGTAAAGGATGTTCTCTTCTGACACAAAATTACTTTTCGTTAACACGCATCACTTAAAAGGGTATTGCTCTAGTAACGGAGGTTGAGATAAGCTACAAACACTTTCATATACATAGACTTTTTTCGCCATTGTATATAACGATTACAGTTAGCCTCTGCACTAGAAAAGAGGGCGCTGAATATCAGTCTATTTCAGACATTTATATATGATCATATTCGATTGACGAAAAAAGAATGTATTTACTTTCTTCAATAGTTTTGGTTTCAATGTGGCATGATATAACTCTTATCACAAATGATAAGATATTACAGACGAAATGAATATACATCATATTGTGTGAAAATTTTTGTTAAAATACAGAGAAACTAAATAATATTGAACTCGTTTTTGCACATATGAACGAATTATATGATTTGGTAATTCTTGTCAAAACAAAAAAATAAAATAAAGGCTAACACATTATTCAGTTTGATTTTTTCCGATGAAAATCTTTAATTTGAATTAACTCTATAGGGAAAAATAATTTGGTTACTCTTATTAATCATCTAAAATCTATGGCACTATTCTGTTTAGTTTATATAAAATATTCACAATTTTTTTTCTCATATATGAAAAAGTTACTGAAATTCTCAATTTTGACAGATTTGTTTTATGAAAAAATATTATGACTTTTTCGAGAAATTTTACAGTGTATTAGAATAAAAACGTTTCCTTTGTGAAATTCCTAAAAAATGTTTTAGTCCTAGGTTTCAAAGTCGATTAGGTCTCGACTTGTAGGAAATTTCAATAGTGCATCCACATTATTTATATGCACTATATCTATATAGAAATACATTTAGAATATTTTGTTTTGCTTTTATGTGGAAAAAAAATCAATTTTTTACATTTTAATATTTTACTCAAGATATACATCTACATGTTAGACTTGAGATAAACATTGATTTTGGTAATTCATTCGAAAATTGAGTACGATTATATATAAAAGAGAAGCTTTTAGTTCCTCCACTAATTGACATGATATTTTGCTATTTTCAAAAACCAGTGTAACTCAATATAATTCATTATTTATAGGCCTTCGCTGTGAAATGTTTTCTTTTCGTCTTGAATTCAAACTCTTAGCGATCATGTAAGTCGAAGGTTGAAATTTGTGAGTAATATTTAATCAATTTGGTTAGAATAATTGATTTTCGTATTAAAGCTATTCATATATTTGACATCAGTGTAACAAGCTAAGTCAACCTATATGTGTCATAATATTTCCATGCGATTTATATTCCCGTTCAAAAATTGAACAACAACTCAGTGTTAGGACTAAATTGAAAATTCAAGTCTGTAAAAACATCGTTTTTTTTATTTTGAATTTTCCTAGTACATAAAACATTTAGAAATGACTTTCTACATTTGCCTTAACGTTTTGACTGATATTATCTCTCATCATATTTCTAGCGATGATCCGAGCTAAATTCGTTCAAAACGATAAATGTAGTTAGAGAGTATTGTGACACATGAATCATATTATCGTCTTATGATAATTTTCAAATATGTTGTTTTTTTTTTGGATGGAAAACTTAATTATTCGAACCCAAACTAATTATTTGATATAAATTAAAAATTCTAATATTTGACTCACACCATCTCTATGGCTATGGCTAAAGTAACTTGTACAGAGAATAAACTATATAAGATAGTTGATTTTTGTACCGTTTGGAAGAGCATGTTGAATTATGTATAATTTTCAGTAGATCGTTTTTTGTCAAGTTCAGTAACAGAAGAATTTCATCATGATTGTATTCATATCAGGTATTTCCGAGGATATTGTGATCTAAAGAAAAAAGGCAACGAATGAAATATTGTCATACTCACATATGTCTTCAAGCTTTATGTTTGCTGATGATTTAGCAGCAGTGGTAGCTGGCAGGATATGAGACAAATATAGTAACCAATGTTTCGACTTAGAACGCAAATTAAAATCATTCTTTGATCCGCTCGAATTTTACTCCATGCTCTCTGTTCAACCAATTAATATTAATAAAACAGAAGCACTGTGGACAGCACGCACAGTTGGTAATCGAAAGTCGAAATCTTTCTAAGTGACAAAAAAAATAAATTGGATCAAGGAATTTAAATATCTAGGGTATTTGATAACATCTAAAATGGGTTGGAGTACTATAATAAGAAAAACAATGATAAAAATTCGGCAGAGAGTCTCTCGAATAAATTCTTTCAGGATGGTAGGTATGACATCTACAGAATTAATAAGAATTCTTTTTCAATCATACGTCTTATCACTATTTACATGACTATATATATTATTCCCTTTTTTTCACGGAAAATCAACAGAAGAATCTCTCCCATCTATACTACACCTCGCTGAAACGACTATTATACTGTCTCCATTGGACAGATAACTTTTTCGCATATGCTTGTGAGAAAATTTCACTAGAAGATAGAAAATCGTTTTTTTTACATCATCTATTATGAAAAAAAATATCTTTATTTAGAAAAAAGTTATCAATACAGATGTGCATATAAATAAATCATACAAACTAATAATAACGAAAATGATGCAATAGACCACCCTGTTCCGAATAAGATATGCAGACGACGTTTGTGTAAAAGTAAGTATTTTCTCGTCTTATGACTTGATTTGAAAAATAAGTTTGGAAAGCATTTCGTAATGATCATGCAGCAGCTATCTTCAGTAAATATAAGTAAACCAGTTGAAATCCAGCCAACTAGGGGAATAGTTAACGAATCCAAAATAATAGAATTTACTAAACCAAGTAAAGCACGTGACATAACGAGTATTGTTCAGTAGGCAAGACCATATTTACGCATATGGTCTCGTTTACGACGTTGCATATCTCCAAACAGCCTTTTAGGTATTTTGTATTTAATTTTTTCAAACATTTGCTTTAAAGCATCCAAATAAAGAAAAAGAATTAATTGACCAATGAGAACAAGACATCTGTATTTGTAGGACATTTGAATTTGAATAAGATCCATCAATTTAGTATAAAAATCCTAAAACACATAGAATAGATTAAGTGAAGACGTAATCCACTCGACATACCATTACAATAATTTCTTCTCATATATGGATCTATAACGAAAGGAGAAGAATCATGATTTATTTATTCGACTTGTTCGATATAGAGAAAAACAAGCGGCGACGATAGTTTTTCTCTATATCGAACAGAACGAATAAATACCT